ATCAGTGACTGGCTTAATCAATAAGTGTATCAATGACGTCATCCCCACAGTGACCATACATATATACCTGTTATGATGAGTTTCTCGGGTATCAAATAATCAAGGATGCAAGGATATACTTAGACACTTTGTAGACAGTTAATGCAAATGTTTAATGATCGGTACCGGGTTAGTTACAGCAATGACCAGAGCTTTGCCCCTTGGTGTTACGAACTAACTTGAACAAAGAAAACACTCTACCTTACATACCCTCTATTACCCTCTTCCTGGCATACATCTGGCAAGTCTCCATGGGCACTCCCTGTCTTTGATGTTCATCACTCTTTACCTCAAGTCACTATCCTGCCCATCACTCATGCTATCCTAAACATCAGTAATCTCCTTTGACATAATGGAATGTAGACTTTCCGTCTCCTAACCACTTATCTAGTAACTCTAACCTATTCCCCACGATACTATGACATGACATCATTACAATACCCCAACCAGAAACCATGGATTACAGGCAACATCCGCACTGAGCTAAAGGGTAGAGCTGCCGCTTTCAAGGAGCGGGACTCTAACCCGGACGCTTATAAGAAATCCCAATATGCCCTCAGACGAACCATGAAACAGGCAAAGAGTCAATACAGGGCTAAGATTGAATCGTACTACACCGGCTCCGACGCTCGTCGGATGTGGCAGGGCTTGCAAACTATTACAAACTACAAAGGGAAGCACCGCCGCGAGCTGCCCAGTGACACAAGCCTACCAGATGAGCTAAATCACTTCTATGCTCGCTTCGAGGCAAGCAACACTGAAGCATGCATGAGAGCATCAGCTGTTCCGGATGTCTATGTGATCACACTAGTTAGACCTGAGTGGACTGCCCACTGTACTTTTGTATAGTTAGTAGCAAGCTAGCGGTTCTTGAGGCAGGCAGGATCAGTTTAGGGGTTTTTGAATTCATTATTTCATTCCTTGGGTCCAGCTCAGCCCCTTTCCCCAAACAGTTTACTGTGTGTTTAAAATAAACGTTTTGTGTTTGACGGTAGGATTGGTTGTCAGTGTATTTTGTTCTCACTTGTTCCTTTTCACTATTCTAATTGCATGAGTTATGTTACGGGTCTCTTTACCATCACCCTAGACTTTTAAAGCCACAGGGTTAATAACAGCGCTACAGAGGGTAGTGCGTATGGCCAGTACATCACTGGGGCCAAGTTTCCTGTCATCCAGGACCTTTATACCAGGCGGTGTCAGAGGAAGGCCCTAACAATTGTCAAAGACTCCAGCCACCCTAGTCATAGACTGGGGTGAATAGTTATGCACACTCAAGTTTTCTGTTCTTTTGTCTTATTTCTTGTTTGTTTCACAAGAAAAAATATTTTGCATCTTCAAAGTGGTAGGCATGTTGTGTAAATCAAATGATACAAACCCCCCAAAAATCTATTTTAATTCCAGGTTGTAAGGCAACAGAATAGGAAAAGTGCAAAGGGGGGTGAATTCTTTCGCAAGCCACTGTATGTGCTGTGATTGTTGATTCAACTCAACTGACATGATAAAAAATACATTCCATTGCATGAGCCACATCAGTTAACATCATTTTATCAATGAACAATCTACATTACCATGGAAATGATTGCGTCACAATACCAGGCAGCCATTGTGAGTGTACCCATGAGTTTACCAGTTAAATTGCCAGGGTTAGAGGTTCCAAGCCCGTTCTATTCAATCTATTTCTATGTGTGCTGCTGCTGCATTGTTGGGGGCATTACCTAGACAACCAAATACTCCTTTGCTTGTTTCAGCAAAGAGCAAGTTTCATCACGTTGTTAAGACTCCATGTTACGGCCGAAACGGACTCAACCGCACAAATGCCTGGCCATCCCGTCTTCAATCATCTGTTAGTTCCCAAAAATATATACAGTATCGTTCAAACGTTTGGGGTCACTTAGAAATGTCCTTGTTTTCCATGAAAACATACATGAAATGAGTTTGAATAGGAAATATACCAAAATGAATAGGAAATGTAGTCATTGACAAGGTTAGAAATAATGATTTTTAATTGAAATAATAATTGTGTCCTTCAAACTTTGCTTTCGTCAAAGAATCCTCAATTTGCAGCAATTACAGCCTTGCAGACCTTTGGCATTCTAGTTGTCAATTTGTTGAGGTAATCTGAAGAGATTTCACCCCATGCATCCTGAAGCAGCTCCCACAAATTGGATTGGCTTGATGGGCACTTTTTACGTACCATACGGTCAAGCTGCTCCCAAAACAGCTCAATAGGGTTGAGATCCAGTGACTGTGCTGGCCACTCCATAATAGACAGAATACCAGCTGACTGCTTCTTCCCTAAATAGTTTTGCATAGTTTGGAGCTGTGCTTTGGGTCATTGTCCTGTTGTAGGAGGAAATTGGCTCCAATCAAGCGTCGTCCACAGGGTATGGCATGGTGTTGCAAAATGGAGTGATAGCCTTCCTTCTTCAAGATCCCTTTTACCCTGTACAAATCTCCTACTTTTCCACCACCAAAGCACCCCCAGACCATCACATTGCCTCCACCATGCTTGACAGATGGCATCAAGCACTCCTCCAGCATCTTTTCATTTGGTCTGCGTCTCACAAATGTTCTTCTTTATGATCCGAACACCTCAAACTTCGATTCGTCTGTCCATAACACTTTTTTCCAATCTTCCTCTGTCCAATGTCTGTGTTCTTTTACCGATCTTAATCTTTTCTTTGTATTGGCCAGTCTGAGATATGGCTTTTTCTTTGCAACTCTGCCTAGAAGGTCAGCATCCCGGAGTCGCCTCTTCACTGTTGACGTTGAGACTGGTGTTTTGCGGGCACTATTTAATGAAGCTGCCAGTTGAGGACCTGTGAGGCATCTGTTTCTTAAACTAGACACTCTAATGTATTTGTCCTCTTGCTCAGTTATGCACCGGGGCCTCCCACTCCTCTTTCTATTCTGGTTAGAGACAGTTTGCGCTGTTCTGTGAAGGGAGTAGTACACAGCGTTGTACGAGATCTTCCGTTTCTTGGCAATTTCTCGCATGGAATAGCCTTCATTTCTCAGAACAAGAATAGACTGATGAGTTTCAGAAGAAAGTTATTTGTTTCTGGCCATTTTGAGCCTGTAATCGAACCCACAATTGCTGATGCTCCAGATACTCAACTAGTCTCAAGAAGGCCAGTTGTATTGCTTCTTTAATCAGCACAACAGTTTTCAGCTGTGCTAACATATAATTGCAAAAGGGTTTTCTAATGATCAATTAGCCTTTTAAAATGATAAACTTGGATTAGCAAACACAACGTGCCATTGGAACACAGGACTGATGGTTGCTGATAATGGGCCTCTGTACGCCTATGTAGATATTCCATAAAAAAATCAGCCGTTTCCAGCTACAATAGCCATTTACAACATTAACAATGTCTACACTGTATTTCTGATCAATTTGATGTTATTTTATGATGGTTATTTTATTTTCATGACAGTCTTCGTCCATAACCATTGGTTAAATGGTTTATATGGTAATGTTCCAGCCCTAGCTGTATGAGAATCACAGTGTGGTAATTCAGTTCAATTTGTATCAGTAATGCAGTACTAATTTAACTATGGGGACTTGGTGTGTTCAGCTGTGTCGTAACGTAGGGAGTTGTCATTTCTGTGTTTGCAGTGGTGTGCCTTGTCTCACCTCTTGCTGAACATCTGGAAACAGCAAGTCCCAGAAGCCACCAGGATGAGCAGCAGCAGAGGGATGGTGGGGATGATCACATAGACCAGCAACATCCCTGTAGAAGGATGTAAGGGTTGGTGTGAGGTGTGACCCAGGTGCGGTGAAGGATATACAGTAGGCAGTAGGCAGAGATGGTGAAACAAGGATCTTTACTGTTGGTCCTGAAGCCAAAATATAAAATAACGGTCTTATCACGATAAAAGAAAGTCGGAGCAAATAAGTCTCCAAAAACCAGCTGACAGCCAAAATACGAAATACTACCTATAACTGAAACAAATAACGAAACAGGTAGAACACTTCTCAAGTACCTGTACATAGGTCTCCGATCAGACACCGAGTAGTACTGCTGGACATAGAGAAACTAGCAGAGAAAACTGAGCAAGGGAACACAGGGAAGTGAGGGCATAAATACACAGGTGAACAGGTAGACACAGGTGACACCAATAGGATACTGATTAGTCCAGACTGTGAGTGAGGAGGTGCCTAAGGTTGTCGTAGGATGACACCTAGTGGGTCGTTCCGGAACTGCGACCCCCTTGGTACTCGTTATGCCCACTGGGTGTGTTAAAAGCTGTCTGCCACTCGTCCCCCTCCCGAATGCCGTCGTCATCAGGGGGAGTGGATAGCGGTAATCAATGCACGGCCGCTGCCCACCATACTTTTTCCCCACGAAGAAGAAGCCCACACCCACGGGTGAGGTAGAGGGACAGATGTGCCCCTCGACGAGCATCTCCAGCCGGGACAAGGAAAACAATCGCCCTCGTGTGGGCATGACGCCCGGCAGGAGATGGATAGCGCAGTCATATGGCCTGTGAAGAGGTAGGCCCTTAGCGCCCCTCTTACTAAACAGCTCCCCCAGATCCCAATACTCCTGGGGGAACGCCTGCCAGGTCTGGGCCGGTGACGGAGTCTGTAGCCGCCGTCCTCTCGGTGGCAACCGTCGCTAGGGCGGAAGGCGGTTCGGAGTGCGGGACCTGGGGAAGAGGTGAGGACTGGTAGGTGGTCTGGGACGGTGGTTTGGGCTGATGAGTGGTCGGTGGAGACCAGAACATGATGGGGCAGAGCCTCCATTCAGGATGAGCTGCCCCGTGGACCAGTCTATCCGGGGTATGTGGGCGACAAGCCAGGGGTGCCCAAGGACGAGGGGACACTCCGGAGAGTCCACAATGTGAGTGACTGTGAGTGAGGAGGTGCCTAAGGTTGTCGGAGGATGACACCTAGTGGGTCGCTAGGTAACAAAAGGAAGGAGGGCAGAGCAGAGATGGCCCCTCAGACAGACAGGCTATTTCATCAATTTACCTGTCTCACCTCCACCTGTCTCACCTGAGGTTCCGGCTATGACTACGTGTGGGGCGTCATCCTCCTCACTGGGTCCAGGCTGTTTGACCTCTTTTGTCTGCGCCACCGTCACATCTGGAACAGACAGAGAGACAGATAGGCAGACAGGCAGACAGACAGACAGACAGGCAGACACAGACATAAACACAGAAACTAGATCAAACAGGGATATACTACAGCAAACCAAGCCAGACCTCCAGTAGAAGGGGCTGCTGTAGCTGGGCTATGCCCCATTATGCGTTCCCTCACCTGGGTCATGAGCTCCAGGCCTGTCCCCCTGCTCCTTCACCAGATGGCTCTCTGTATCAAGATCAGAATCAGAAAAAAACAAAAACAGGATTTAACAAAACTGATATGCATTTCTGTTAGTGTAATGTTGTAAAACACAACAACAGAAACAGCTCTTAGAGGCAGACATAAAGAACACTCCACAAGACACACACAACTCATCTGCCGTCACGTTGGCGTACCTGTGTGATGCTGTGTAGTCGTACCTGGTTCGTACTTGCAGATGAAGTTGTGCTTCATGTTGCACCTGTCGTCATTCCACTGGTACATGTAGGCCCCGCCCAGCCCATGGAGAGCTGTAGGCTGATGGTACATCACTGCACACGCCTCCCCTCCACACGACGGCTCGTCAAAATACCAGTTCCTAACACACACACATAAAGACCTTAACAAACACATGCCTAACGCAACATAAGGCTTTGTCAAAGTCTCAGTTCCTTTTACACACACACACACACATACACACACACACACACCTGAACTGTGACACACTCCCATCGGTCCAGCGGTAGAGGTCGGGACAGGAGGTGAAGTCGTCTTGTTCCTGTGTGTTCTCTCCATCTGTCCTTGTCAGCCCGATCCAGAAATCGCCGTCTGCTATTCCTCCATTACCGGTACTGGTACCCGCTCCAACCCCTGTTCCTGTCCCTGCTCCTGTTGAGGAGGTCCGAAGCTCCTGTAACAAATAATATATATATTGTACAGTGAGAGAAAAAAGTATTTGATCCCCTGCTGATTTTGTATGTTTGCCCACTGACAAAGACATGATCAGTCTATAATTTTAATGGTAGGTTTATTTGAACAGTGAGAGACAGAATAACAACAAAAAATCCAGAAAAACGCATGTAAAAAATGTTATAAATTGATTTGCATTTTAATGAGGGAAGTAAGTATTTGACCCCTCTGCAAAACATGACTTAGTACTTGGTGGCAAAACCCTTGTTGGCAATCACAGAGGTCAGACGTTTCTTGTAGTTGGCCACCAGGTTTGCACACATCTCAGGAGGGATTTTGTCCCACTCCTCTTTGCAGATCTTCTCCAAGTCATTGAGGTTTCGAGCCTGACGTTTGGCAACTCGAACCTTCAGCTCCCTCCACAGATTTTCTATGGGCTAAAGGTCTGGAGACTGGCTAGGCCACTCCAGGACCTTAATGTGCTTCTTCTTGAGGTACATGGGTACATGGCCCTGTCCATCGTCCCTTTGATGCGGTGAAGTTGTCCTGTCCCCTTAGCAGAAAAACACCCCCAAAGCATAATGTTTCCACCTCCATGTTTGATGGTGGGGATGATGTTCTTGGGGTCATAGGCAGCATTCCTCCTCCTCCAAACACGGCGAGTTGAGTTGATGCCAAAGAGCTCAATTTTGGTCTCATCTGACCACAACACTTTCACCCAGTTCTCCTCTGAATCATTCAGATGTTCATTGGAAAACTTCAGACGGCCTGTATATGTGCTTTCTTGCGCAGGGGGACCTTGCGGGCGCTGCAGGATTTCAGTCTTTCACGGCGTAGTGTGTTACCAATTGTTTTCTTGGTGACTATAGTCCCAGCTGCCTTGAGATCATTGACAAGACCTCCCGTGTAGTTCTGGTGCTGATTCCTCACCGTTCTCTTGATCATTGCAATTCCACGAGGTGAGACTTGCATGGAGCCCCAGGCCGAGGGAGATTGATAGTTATTTTGTGTTTCTTCCATTTGCAAATAATCGCACCAACTGTTGTCACCTTCTCACCAAGCTGCTTGGCGATGGTCTTGTAGCCCATTCCTGCCTTGTGTAGGTCTACAATCTTGTCCCTGACATCCTTGGAGAGCTCTTTGGTCTTGGCCATGGTGGAGAGTTTGGAATCTGATTGATTGATTGCTTCTGTGGACAGGTGTCTTTTATACAGGTAACAAGCTGAGATTAGGAGCACTCCCTTTAAGAGTGTGCTCCTAATCTCAGCTCGTTACCTGTATAAAAGACACCTGGGAGCCAGAAATCTTTCTGATTGAGAGGGGTCAAATACTAATTTCCCTCATTAAAAATGCAAAATCAAATTTATAACATTTTTGACATGCGTTTTTCTGGATTTTTTTGTTGTTATTCTGTCTCTCACTGTTCAAATAAACCTACCATTAAAATTATAGACTGATCATTTCTTTGTCAGTGGGAAAACGTAAAAAAATCAGCAGGGGATCAAATACTTTTTTCTCTCACTGTATGTATATTATCCTGTAAGTACATATAATAAATAGGGGTATATATGTCCCTACATACAAACAAAACAATACACATTCATGACAGTTAGGATTTTGTGTGTACATGTCACAACAACAACACCACAAAACAAACACACAAAAAAACAACACAAACCTCACAGACACACACACACAAACACAAACACACAAAACACAGACACAAGACCACGACAGACACACACACACACAACCACACACACACACCACACACACACACACACACAAAACACACACACACACACACACAGAACACACACACACACACACAACACAACACACACACACACACACCACACACACAACAACAACACACACACAACACACACACAACACACACAAACACACACACAAACACAACACACACACACAAACACACACAACACACAAACACACAACACACCACACACACACCACACACACACACCACCACACACACACAACACACACACACACAAACACCACACAAACACAACACAACAACAACACACACAACACACACACACAACACACACACACACAAACACCACACACACACACACACACCACAAACAAAACACACACACACACACAAACACCACACACACACCACAACACACACAAACACACACACACACACACAAACACACACACACACACACACACACACACACACACACACACACACAACACACACACACACACACACAAACACACACACACACACACACACACACACACACACACACACACAAACACACACACACACACACACACACACACACACACACACACTGACCTGTAGCAGGTGTTCTATGTGTCTCTGCTCGGCAGCGTTCTCTATGCTCAGCAGGGACCCTCCGTCCATCTCACATGCCTCTCTGGCCTCCCAGAATGCAACGCGGCTGGTCATATCCCGGAAGTAGGCCATCTTATAGCACGGATGCTCCGCCCCTCCCTGACACACCGTCTGACCTGCGGGGAGAAGGAGATAATCTATCCATCTATTGAAGGAGATAATCTATCCATCTATTGAAGGAGATAATCTATCCATCTATTGAAGGAGATAATCTATCCATCTATTGAAGGAGATAATCTATCCATCTATTGAAGGAGATAATCTATCCATCTATTGATTGTAAGTAGACGGTTTTACATGTGGATGGATACATTATCCAATGGACAATTCTGTCAAATCTATCTGTGGCAGTTGTATGCAATATGACCCGATTTAAGCATCTGTCATCTCTCGTGGACAGACTACGTAATATAAATTGTAGTAATTTACGTCAGATGTTTTGGTTCTAGGTTGCCAAAATTACTATGCCAGTAAAACAGCAAATGCCATCAAGCACTGGTTCCACAACTGTTTCAAAATCCTGTTTCTCCCTCTTCTCTACTGTTCCTGTGGCTTTGTTTATATTTTCCTTCCAACCCTTCATCCATCTATCGGACAAACCATCCATCAACCAATCAGTGATCAGTAAATCCACTAGACTACTGTATCTACACCCCAATCAGCCCCTCCTCCAGTCAATACATCCATCAACCAGCCAACAAATCAACCAACCCACCTGTCAATCAAACATTTAACAAATCAACTCATCAATCAATCCATCAATCAGTTCATATCAGTGAATTGTATACATCAGGAGAATGACACCTCAGTGAATCTCTGTTCATCTTATGAAGTGGTCATTGTCTTAATTGAATGCAAACATCCTCCATCAAGCTTATCAGTCGTACACCACCCTAACACACACAACCCATCGACCCCCACTCAACTAATGACTCTTGACTTCCCGCCAAAACGATGTGGTCATCGCATTCCCATCCTCTCAGGTCCGTAGAATTTACAGTCAAACTTTCCCAGAGTGGTCAATATCCTGTGTCAATCAGGACGTGCCTCCAGCTAACAGTAGTATAGCAGGACTACTAATCACACTGTAGGCCCAGATCCAGAACAAACACACATCTACTGGCTGTATTTACACTCAGAACTGATGTGACACTTACAGTAAGCAGTAAGCACCCTCACATGCAGTACTGTAGCTTTACTGACACACCCACAAACGTACACTTATGAAAATAACTACTGTTCCCTGAAGGAGGGAACGAGATATAACATACTATGGGGTAGTCAACAACCAATCATATTCACCTGAAGAACACGCCCAATGGGCCAATGAATGCAGAGCCCGCCCTCGGACGCCCCGCCTTCTTGGCTATAATACCGGGGGCTTACAGAAGCCAAATTCTTCACTAATACTTACCAAAGAAGCCTGAACTGTCAGAGCCTCATATAGGGAACCTGCTGCAACTTGGCTGTGAGCACCGACACATTTACATTTAAGTCATTTAGCAGACGCCCTTATCCAGAGCGACTTACAGTTAGTGAGTGCATACATTATTTTTTTATACTTTCCCCCTGTGAGAATCGAACCCACAATCCTGGCGTTGCAAACGCCATGCTCTACCAACTGAGCTACATCCCTGCCGGCCATTCCCTCCCCTACCCTGGACGACGCTGGGCCAATTGTGCGCCGCCCCATGGGTCTCCCGGGTCACGGGCCGGCTAAGACAGAGCCTGGATTCGAACCAGGATCTCTAGTGGCACAGCTAGCACAATGCAGTGCCTTAGACCACTGCGCCACTGCAGCCCAAGTCCATAGACCCAACGGTTCCAGGAACAATACTTACCTTGCGAGCCTGAAACATCAGAACTCGTAAAAAGGAACCGCAAGTCCAAAACAACGGAACACCTGTCGTGACTTGGTAAAGCGCACGGGCGCGCTGCGTAGCATCAACCAGAGTCTATGAACCCACAGAAAACCTGCAGTAACCTGTAAACGGTGTACTCGCGCGCTGACACGGCAGCCCAAACCTCAAACCCACAGGGGAAATGTGGTGACCCTGATAAATGTGCACTCTGCACGTTGCCGCCCATCAAGGAAGCCCAAACCTCAATCTCACAAGGTAACTGTGGTAACCCTGATAAATGTGCACTCTGCACGTTGCCGCCCATCAAGGAAGCCCAAACCTCAATCTCACAGGGGAAATGTGGTGACCCTGATAAATGTGCACTCTGCACGTTGCCGCCCATCAAGGAAGCCCAAACCTCAATCTCACAGGGTAACTGTGGTAACCCTGATAAATGTGCACTCTGCACGTTGCCGCCCATCAAGGAAGCCCAAACCTCAATCTCACAGGGGAAATGTGGTGACCCTGATAAATGTGCACTCTGCACGTTGCCGCCCATCAAGGAAGCCCAAACCTCAATCTCACAGGGTAACTGTGGTAACCCTGATAAATGTGCACTCTGCACGTTGCCGCCCATCAAGGAAGCCCAAACCTCAATCTCACAGGGGAAATGTGGTGACCCTGATAAATGTGCACTCTGCACGTTGCCGCCCATCAAGGAAGCCCAAACCTCAATCTCACAGGGTAACTGTGGTAACCCTGATAAATGTGCACTCTGCACGTTGCCGCCCATCAAGGAAGCCCAAACCTCAATCTCACAGGGGAACTGTGGTAACTCAAAATGCTGCCTAACATTGACCAATGGCGGCCCAAGTCCATAGATCCTACCGGTTACAAAAAGGCTCAAACAGAGACCCAAGGAGTCTGGAACTGCTTGTCCTAGTCCAAGGATCCGCAAGTCCAAAACAACAGGGCACCTGCTGTGACTTGATTATGAACATTCGCAAGCCGACCTCGTCGAAGAAACCATGGCAGCCCAAGGATCTATCCCACAAGAGAGCTGTGGTAACCCGGATAAATGCGCAACCTGCACGCTGCCTGACACTCACTATCGTACCTAGCCATAGGAACACTATGAGCCACACTGTGAGCAGTTACGTCCAAGCGATAAAACCTCACAAAGGCATGTGGGGAACCCCAACTCGCTGCCGCACAGACATCACCAATCATCTTGCCCCCTGAACAACACCCAAGAAGCTGCCACACCCCTAGTGGAGTGAGCATGCACAGCGCTAAGGCTACCCTGTCCTTTGCTGTCATATGCCAAGGAGACAATTTGTATGTGACAAATCAAATCTTATTTGTCAAATACACGTGTTTAGAAGATGTTATGTAGCGAAATGCTTGTGCTTCTAGCTCCGACAGTGCAGTAATATCTAACAATTTCACAACATATACCCAATACACACAAAACTAGTAAGGAATGGGATTTAAGAATATATACATATATGGACAAGCAATGACAGAGAGGCATTTACTAAGATACAGTAGAATATTATAGAATAGAATGCAGTATATACATATGAGATGAGTAGTGCAAGATATGTAAACATTTTTAAAGTGACTAGTGTTCCATTTCTTAAAGTGGCCAGTGATTTATATAGGCAGCAGCAGCCTCTAATGTGCTAGTGATGGCTATTTAACAGTCTGATGGCCTTGAGATGGAAGCTGTTTTTCATTCTCTCGGTCCCAGCTTTGATGCACCTGTACTGACCTCGCCTTCAGGATGATAGCGGGGTGAACAGGCAGTGGCTCGGGTGGTTCGTGTCCTTTTTGGCCTTCCTGTGACATCGGGTGTTCTATGTGTCTTGGAGGGCGTGTAGTTTGCCCCCGGTAATGCGTTCGGCAGACCGCATCACCCTCTGGAGAGCCCTGCAGTTGTGGGCGGTGCAGTTGCCATACCAGGCGGTGATACAGCCCAACAGGATGCTCTCAATTGTGCATCTGTAAAAGTTTGTGAGGGTTTTAGGTGCTAAGCCGAATTTCTTCAGCCTCCAGAGGTTGAAGAGGCTCAGTTGCGCTTTCTTCACCACACTCTCTGCGTGGTGGACCATTTCAGTTTGTCGGTGATGTGTACGCCAAGGAACTTGAAGCTTTCTACCTTCTCCATTGTGGTCCCGTCGATGTGAATAGGGGGGTGCACCCTCTGCTGTTTCCTGAAGTCCACGATCATCTCCTTTGTTTTGTTGATGTTGAGTGAGAGGTTATTTTCCTGGCACCACACTCCCAGAGCCCTCACCTCCTCCCTGTAGGCAGTCTCGTCATTGTTGGTAATCAAGCCTACTACTGTTGTGTCGTCTGCAAACTTGATGATTGAGTTAGAGGCGTGCAGTCATGGGTGAACAGGGAGTACAGGAGGGGGCTGAGCACGCACGCTTGAGGGGCCCCAGTGTTGAGGATCAGCGAAAGAGAACGCACTTTCACAAGTTAGACCAGTTAGACACTTATATACCCACACATAGACACTTACACACACACACACACACATAGACACTTATACACACACACAATCACATGCATGCATCCCAATCTCCAGCATTATAAAGCTGTCCTCTATCATGCCAGGTAAGTGGGTGAAAAGTGGTGGATCTGGCCCAGATTTTAGACAGACTCATAAAAACCAGAAAGGTCAGCCTCATAAAGAGTGTGTGTGGTGTGTGTGTGTGTGTGTGTGTGTGTGTGTGTGTGTGTGTGTGTGTGTGTGTGTGTGTGTGTGTGTGTGTGTGTGTGGTGTGTGTGTGTGGTGTGTGTGTGTTGTGTGTGTGTGTGTGTGTGTGTGTGTGTGTGTGTGTGTGTGTGTGTGTTTGTGTGTGTTTGTGCCGTGTGTGTGTGTGAACGCGCATCAGTGCATAATACCAGTGATTAATACACAGCCAGTTAAAGAGGCCTAATAATAACATTAGCAGTGTGGCCAGGAGGTACTTTAAATGATTGCCTGCCTGGTCTAGATCAGATCTGCACTATCATCACTTTGGAACCCAGTAATGGGCCGGGGCGCACAGACGACCAACGCACCAGTCAGCATTTTCACCTCCTTTCTCTCTTTCTTCCTCTCTTTGTTGATTCACTCCCTCCATCATTATATTGCCTCTTCTTCCTCAAATCAAATCAAATTCTAATTGTATTTATCACATTCGCCGAATACAACAGGTGTAGACCTTACTGTGAAACCAACAATGCAGTTTGAAGAAAAATAAGAGTGAAGAAAATATTAACTAAATAAACTAAAGTAAAAAAAGAAATTAAAAAAAGACAATAAATAACAATAACGAGGCTATTTACAGGGGGTACCGGTACCGAGTACAGGTTAGTCGAGGTAATTGAGGTAATATGTACATGTAGATAGGGGTAAAGTGACTATGCATAGACAATAAACAGCGAAAAAAAAAAGGGGGGGGGGGGGGGGGGGGGGGGTCAATGCAAATAGTCCAGGTAGCTATTTGATTAACTGTTTAGCAGTCTAATGGCTTGGGGGTAGAAGCTGTTAAGGAGCCTTTTGGATGTAGACTTGGCGCTCCGGTACCGCTTGCCGTGCGGTAGCAGAGAGAACAGTCTATGACTAGGGTGGCTGGAGTCTTTGACAATTTTTAGGGCCTTCCTCTGACACCGCCTGTTATAGAGGCCCTGGATGGCAGGAAGTTTGGCCCCAGTGATGTACTGGGCCGTACGCACTACCCTCTGTAGCGCCTTGCGGATAGATGTCGAGCTGTTGCCATATCAGGTGGTGATGCAACCAATCAGGATGCTCTTGACGGTGCAGCTGTATAACTTTTGGAGGATCTGAGTGTCACGATCGTCGGTAAGAGAGGAGGACCAAGGCGCAGCGTTGCAGGCAAACATACTCTTTATTTAGCGATACACGACCAAAACAACAAAACGATAACGTGACAGTTCACGGTCTAACACAAACCAACTAGAAACAAGATCCCACAACTACTGTGGGAAAACAGCCTGTTTAAATGTGGTTCCCAATCAGAGACAACCAGCCACAGCTGACACTCGTTGCCTCTGATTGAGAACCACACTGGCCAACACAGAAATGGAACACATAGAATACAAATGAAACTCACACCCTGGCTCAACATACAAGTGTCCCCAGAGCCAGGGCGTGACAGTACCCCCCCCGTAAAGGCGCGGACTTCGACCGCGCCAACTAAATACCACAGGGGAGGGACCGGGTGGGCACTCCGCCTTGGCGGCGGATCCGGCTCCGGGCCTGATCCCCACTCCCTCTCCAACCCCCCAAAGTACCCCTGGTCCGGTCTGGCCCCGCTGGCCGGAGCTGGACTGCACACTGATGGAGCGGATTGCTCTAGCTCCGGCGTAACGCATCTGACCGGTGCCGGACCAGGCACCAGTGGAACAGGCACGGGCCGTGCCGGACTGACGACGCCCACCACTGGCTTGGTGTGGAGAACAGGCACAGGCCGTGCTGGACTGGCGACGCACACCACTGGCTTGGTGTGAGGAGCAGGAGCGGGCCGAACCGGGCTGGCGACGCGCACCATTGGCTTGGTGCGGGAAGCAGGAGCGGGCCGGACCGGGCTGACGATGCGCACCCCTGGCTTGGTGCGTGGAGCAGGAATGGACCGGACCGGGCTGACGATGCGCACCCCTGGCTTAGTGCGTGGAGCAGCAACGGGCCGGGCCGGGCTGACGATACGCACCCCTGGCTTGGTGCGTGGAGCAGGAACGGGCTGGACCGGGCTGATGACTCGCACCCCTGGCTTGGTGCGAGTGGCAGGAACAGGCCGGACCGGGCTGGCGACGCGCACCATAGGCTTGGTGCGGGGAGCAGGAACAGGCCGGGCCGGGCTGGCGAAGCGCACCATAGGCTTGGTGCGGGGAGCAGGAACAGGCCGGGCCGAGCTGGCGACGCGCACCATTGGCCTGGTGCGGGGAGCAGGAACAGGACGGGCCGGGCTGGCGATGCGCACCATTGGCTTGGTGCGGGGAGCAGGAACGGGCCGGACCGGGCTGGAGACTCGCACCATGGGCCTGGTGCGGGGAGCAGGAACAGGCCAGACCGTACTGGGGACACACACCACTGGCCCTACGCAGGGATCTGGAACAGGCCGGACCGGACTGGTAACACACCCCAGTACCTCTCGCCGTGCCTCTACACCTTCCATCCCCTCTTCGACCAGTGGCCCCCGTAACCTGGCGGCCTCCTCTGCCAACCCGCTGGGCCGCTCTGTCGCGGTCTCCTGCTGGCCCGTCGTCCACGGCGTTAGCCCCCCCCCTAAAAATTGTATGGGCTTCACTCCTACCCGTGGACCAGGTCTCCATACTTCTCGCCAGCCTTTCGCCCTTCTGCTTCCACGTCAAGCCCCTCTCTTCCTCACCCGGCTTGACCCAGTCGAGGAGGCGCTGGATATCCGCTAGGGATTTCCCTGGCGATGGCTCCTGGACCCGCTGCTTGGTCCAGTTCTGGTGGGATCTTCTGTCACAATCGTCGGTAAGAGAGGAGGACCAAGGCGCAGCGTTGCAGGCAAACATACTCTTTATTTAGCGATACACGACCAAAACAACAAAACGATAACGTGACAGTTACGGTCTAACACAAACCAACTAGAAACAAGATCCCACAACTACTGTGGGAAAACAGCCTGTTTAAATGTGGTTCCCAATCAGAGACAACCAGCCACAGCTGACACTCGTTGCCTCTGATTGAGAACCACACTGGCCAACATAGAAATGGAACACATAGAATACAAATGAAACTCACACCCTGGCTCAACATACAAGTGTCCCCAGAGCCAGGGCGTGACACTGAGGACCCATGACAAACCTTTTCAGTCTCCTGAGGGGGAATAGGCGTTGTCGTGCCCTCTTCACGACTGTCTTGGTGTGTTTGGACCATGATAGTTTGTTGGTGATGTGGACACCAAGGAACTTGAAGCTCTCGACCTGCTCCACTACAGCCCCATCGATGTGAATGGGGGAGTTTTTCTGTAGTCCAATCAGCTCCTTCATCTTGATCACGTTGAGGGAGAGGTTGTTGTCCTGGCACCACACTGCCAGGTCTCTGACCTCCTTCCTATAGGCTGTCTCATGTTTGTCAGTGATCAGGCCTACCACTATTGTGTCGTCTGCAAACTTAATAATGGTGTTGGTGTCGTGCTTAGCCACGCAGTCGTAGGTGAACAGGGAGTACAGGAGGGAATTAAGCACACACCATTGAAGGGCCCCCGTGTTGAGGATCAGCGTGCAGATGTGTTGTTGCCTAACACCTGGGGGCGGCCCATCAGGAAGTCCATGATCCAGTTGCAGAGGGAGGTGTTTAGTCCTAGGGTCCTTAGCTTAGTGATGAGCTTTGAGGGCACTATGGTGCTGAACGCTGAGCTGTAGTCAATGAACAGCATTCTCACGTAGGTGTTTCTTTTGTCCAGATGGGAAAGGGCAGTGTGGAGTGCAATAGAGATTGTGTCATCTGTGGATCTGTTGGGGCGGTTTGCGAATTAGAGTGGGTCTAAGGTTTCTGGGCTGTTGGTGTTGATGTGAGCCTTGACCAGCCTTTCAAAGCACTTCATGGCTACAGATGTGAGTGCTACGGGTTGGTAGTCATTTAGGCAGGTTACCTTAGCGTTCTTGGACACAGGAACTATGGTGGTCTGCTTGAAACATGTAGGTATTACGGAAAATGTCAGTGAAGACACTTGCCAGTTGGTCAGCGCATGCTCTGAGTACACGTCCTGGTAATCTGTCTGGCCCTGCGGCCTTGTGAATGTTGACCTGTTTAAAGGTCTTACTCAAATCGGCTACGGAGAGCGTGATCACACAGTCGTCCGGAACAGCTGGTGCTCTCATGCATGCTTCAGTGTTTCTTGCCTCGAGGCGCGCATAGAAGTCATTTAGCTCGTCTGTTAGGCTCGTGTCACTGGGCAGCTTACGGCTGGGCTTCCCTTTGTAGTCCGTAATAGTTTACAAGCCCTGCCACATCCGACGAGCGTCAAAGCTGGTGTAGTAGGATTCAATCTTAGTCCTGTATTGACGCTTTGCCTGTTTGATGGTTCGTCGGAGGGCATAGCAGGATTTCTATGTGTCCGGGTTAGTGTCCCGCCCCTTGAAAGTGGCAGCTCTACCCTTTAGCTCAGTGCAGATGTTGCCTGTAATCCATGGCTTCTGGTTGAGGTATGTACGTACGGTCACTGTGGGGATGACGTCATCGATGCACTTATTGATGAAGCCGGTGACTGTGGTATACTCCTCAATGCCATCGGATGAATCCCGTAACATATTCCAGTCTGTGCTAGCAAAACAGTCCTGTAGCTTTGCATCTGCGTCATCTGACTACTTCCGTATTGAGTGAGTCACTGGTACTTCAGGAGGATAGAATTATGGTCAGATTTGCCAAATGGAGGGCCAGGGAGAGCTTTGTACACGTCTCTGTGTGTGGAGTAGAGGTGGTCTGGAGTTTTTTTCCTCTGGTTGCACAGATTTACGTTTTCCTGCATTAAAGTCCCCGGCCACTAGGTTCGTCGCCTCTGGGTGAGTATTTTCTTGTTTGCTTATGGCCTTACACAGGTCGTTGAGTGTGGCCTTTATGCCAGCATCGGTTTGTGGTGGTAAATAGACAGCTACTAAAAATATAGATTAAACCTCTCTTGGTAAATAGTGTGAGCTACAGTTTACCATGAGGTACTCTACCTCAGGCGCGCAAAACATAGAGACCTCTTTGATATTAGATTTTGCGCACCAGCTGTTAGTAACAAATAGACACAGACCACCACCCCTCGTCTTACCGGAGGTAGCTGTTCTGTCTTGCCGATGCACGGAAACCCCTGCCAACTGTATATTATCCATGTCGTCGTTCAGCCACGACTCAGTGAAACATAAGATATTACAGTTTTTAATGTCCCATTGGTAGGATAGTCTCGAACGGAGCTCATCCGGTTAATTCTCCAGTGATTGCACGTTGGCCAATAGGACGAGTGGTAGAGGTGGGTTACCCACTCGCCGACGAATTCTCACAAGGCACCCGGATCTGCGTCCCCTGTATCTCTGTCACGGTCGAGGTAAGGAGTAGACCAAGGCGCAGCGTGATGAACAAACATGACTTTAATTAGTTAAAGCGTCAAAATACAAAACAAAACACGACTCGTGACGTCCACGGTATCAAAGACCGAACACGGAACAAAAACCCACAACCACAAAGGGAAAACATACAGTTTAAATATGGCTCCCAATCAGAGACAACCAGCCAACAGCTGACACTCGTTGCCTCTGATTGGGAGTCACTCAGGCAAACATAGAATACAACAAACTAGAATGAACACCAACATAGAAATATACACATAGAAATGAACACACCCTGGCTCAACATAATGAGTCCCAGAGCCAGGGTGTGACAATCTCCGTCTCCTCTTCATGTGAATGACGGGGATTTGGGCCTGGTCCGGTAGCAGCAGTAAATCCTTCACTTCAGACTCATTAAAGAAAAAAACTTGGTCCGGTTCGAGGTGAGTAATCGTTGTTCTGATATCCAGAAGCTATTTTCGGTCATAAGAGACGGTGGAAGAAACATTATGTACAAGATAAGCTACAAACAACATGAAAAAAAAACACGAAAAATAGCACAATTGGTTAGGAGCCCTGTAAAACAGCAGCCATCCCCTCCGGCGCCGTTCTTCTTCTCAACCGTCATCATCTTTCCTATAATTCCAGTGGCGTAGTGCTATTTGTTTAGGTGAGGGAGCGCAATTTCTTTTTTATTATTAGGTGATAATTTCTCTATAAATGTTGTACCGACAGATGTAGCCTATTGAATATCATTGTAGAACAGGCCTATGCATAAAAATGCATCCTCAAATTACACTGTCTGCCTATGTCCACACATACAGTTTCATCTCAAGAACGTTTTCAATTTTTTTTTAAACCCTCAAACACCAAGTTAGGCATACCATAGGGCTGGGGCGTTAACGAAATGTCGTCAACCGGTGATTGTCAAGAAAATAACTGTCTGTCTCACGGTAATTGACCGTTAATTAACATAAACACATTTAGCATCTCCTGGCTTCCACACATAGCCTACAAGCCACTAATGCAGACCTTTGGAACGTCTTTCATCTCTCTCAATGATCCTCAATCCCCCTCTCTCACTGATCCTCAATCCCCCTCTCTCACTGATTCTCGGTCTGTCTCTCTCACTGATCCTCTCTGTCTGTCTCTCTCAATGATCATCAATCCCCCTCTCTCAAGGATCCTCAATCCCCCTCTCTCACTGATTCTCTCTGTCTGTCTCTCTCACTGATTCTCTCTGTCTGTTTCTCTCACTGATTCTCTCTGTCTGTTTCTCTCACTGATTCTCTCTGTCTGTTTCTCTCACTGATTCTCTCTGTCTGTTTCTCTCACTGATTCTCTCTGTCTGTTTCTCTCACTGATTCTCTCTGTCTGTTTCTCTCACTGATTCTCTCTGTCTGTCTCTCTCACTGATCCTCTCTGTCTGTCTCTCACTGATCCTCTCTGTCTGTCTCTCTCACTGATCCTCTCTGTCTGTCTCTCTCACTGATTCTCTCTGTCTGTTTCTCTCACTGATTCTCTCTGTCTGTCTCTCTCACTGATTCTCTCTGTCTGTTTCTCTCACTGATTCTCTCTGTCTGTTTCTCTCACTGATTCTCTCTGTCTGTTTCTCTCACTGATTCTCTCTGTCTGTTTCTCTCACTGATTCTCTCTGTCTGTTTCTCTTCTCTCCGATCCCTGTCTGTTTCTCTCACTGATTCTCTCCGTCTGTTTCTCTCACTGATTCTCTCTGTCTGTTTCTCTCACTGATCCTCTCTGTCTGTTTCTCTCACTGATTCTCTCTGTCTGTTTCTCTCACTGATTCTCTCTGTCTGTCTCTCTCACTGATCCTCTCTGTCTGTCTCTCTCACTGATCCCCTCTGTCTGTCTCTCACTTATCATCTCTGTCTGTCTCTCTCACTGATTCTCTGTCTGTCTCTCTCACTGATTCTCTGTCTGTCTCTCTCACTGATCCTCTCTGTCTGTATCTCTCACTGATTCTCTGTCTGTCTCTCACTGATCCTCTCTGTCTGTCTCTCTCACTGATCCCCTCTGTCTGTCTCTCTCACTGATCCCCTCTGTCTGTCTCTCACTTATCATCTCTGTCTGTCTCTCTCACTGATTCTCTGTCTGTTTCTCTCACTGATTCTCTGTCTGTTTCTCTCACTGATCCTCTCTGTCTGTCTCTCTCACTGATTCTCTGTCTGTTTCTCTCACTGATTCTCTCTGTCTGTTTCTCTCACTGATCCTCTCTGTCTGTCTCTCTCACTGATCCCCTCTGTCTGTCTCTCACTGATTCTCTGTCTGTCTCTCTCACTGATTCTCTCTGTCTGTCTCTCACTTATCATCTCTGTCTGTCTCTCACTGATTCTATCTGTCTGTCTCTCTCACTGATTCTCTCTGTCTGTTTCTCTCACTGATCCCCTCTGTCTGTCTCTCACTGATTCTCTGTCTGTCTCTCTCACTGATTCTCTGTCTGTCTCTCTCACTGATCCTCTCTGTCTGTTTCTCTCACTGATCCCCTATGTCTGTCTCTCACTGATTCTCTGTCTGTTTCTCTCACTGATTCTCTCTGTCTGTTTCTCTCACTGATTCTCTCTGTCTGTTTCTCTCACTGATTCTCTGTCTGTCTCTTTCAGTCTTTTTTCCATCCGTGTCACTTGCAGTTTATTTAGTCTAAATCACACTGTAGGGAAATGTTAGGTTAAAGAGGGGCATATTTCATAGACTCTGAAGTCAGTAGGACTTAGCAAAACTAGGTGTTAGCAAGACTACATTTCTCACCCTAATGAAATAAAAGTCCAAGACTCTCTCCCTCTCTCTCTCGCTCTCTCTCTCTCTCTCTGTAACAGATTTGAATACAAACATGTTAAGTCAGCAGCCTGCCCTATGACACTGACAGCACTGACACGTGTAGAACCGCAGCCTGCTGTAAGTTATTTCATAAATGTAGAGTCCCAGAGGGAGGGAACAATAAATCAACTGTCCAACCCCAATAACCACCAGTCAAAAAAACCTAGAAGGACAGTTCCCTGGTAAACGAACTCTAACAGGCTCACACACATTCCTACACACACCTCAGAATCTTTAACGGTACACTTAAAAAATAAAGGTGCGAGTTGGATCCAAGTAATGTTCTTGAGAGCGATGCGATAGAGGAACCATTTTAGGGTCTCTGAAGAACTATAAATGGGATGGTTCTTTGAAGAACCATACAAAAATCCAAAACCAGAAATGTTTCGGTCCTCCAGGACCGGAATTTAATAGCCCTGCTGTAGGATTTTAAGCCATATTTACATATTTCCCAGCGTGCCTTTCAAGTTAATTTTAGAGTTTCCAGTAACACCCATGACTGGTTTGCTAGTGACAGAGACATGGTTGTTGCATTCAGTCACTTATTGTCCTGTGGCCTTCACCAAGTGAGATCCTAAGTGAATATGAAGGCCTAGATGTACCTTAATACAGTGGCCTGTAACTCATAGTTTACAGGCAGCCCCCCCGTGTCCGTCTGGAGCGTGAAGTCTCGAGCTCTGCTGGTCGGCTACTGCGTAGCTACCTAGCGGTGACAAAAGTCCTGGTCTACTCTAGAAAGCCTATGTAAATTACGATAGCTCGAGTGGCCCCCAAAATCAAAATCTAGACGGACGTTTTGGACTCTAAAATTAGTTTATTATGATCAAGTTCGATCCCCACAGTGAATGATTTTAAAGTTTGCTACAAATCAAGATATTTCATTAAATTGTGATCCATTCTGACTAGTGCATTTGTCGTCACACAGGACCACGTGCTGACACAGACCAATCAGAACGTGCCGGCAGGCTATGAGGAGGCTCCCGGTTGACTCTCTCAGGCAGGATGAAAACGACTACATCGACCATGATCCTTTGCTAGTTACGGCCACTTTCACCATGACCCTTAGCGATGTTTTGGTGCCATTCAGCCCCATACAACAAAATGGCACGCTTCAAATTCAAATAATTCCGGCTTCATGCGCCATCAGGTGTTTTCCATAGGAATATGTGGATGACATCAGCGCTATCACTATCTACTGCAAGACACATTATGCTGGCTTGCAAATTGATGTGTAATTCCTATTGAAATCCAGTCATAGTGGGGATATCCATTTAGAATGTTTATTCACCTGAAACCTGAATTCAGAATTAATGCCAGGGTTAGGAATATTAAGATATGAGACTAACTTAAACATCTAAACTGAAACAACCATTTCAGTAAAGGGTGCAATAAGTAGATTTGGATTAGTTTAGAAAAATGTATGTTATATATATTTGAGTAGCATAAGATTAATGAATTAATCAATCAATCAATGTACATGCAAAAACATAGATATTGAAATAAACAACTCTAAAAAATAAACCTGCAATAGAGCATAACAGCAAATCTGCAGCAATAACAGTTTACGTGCTTGAGGCGTCAGACCCCCTGGTTCGATTCCAGGCTGTATCACAACCGGCCGTGATTGGGAGTCCCATAGGGCGGCGCACAATTGGCCCAGCGTCGTCCGGGTTTGGCCGGTGTAGGCCGTAATTGTAAATAAGAATTTGTTCTTAACTGACTTGCCTAGTTAAATAAAGGTAAAATAAAAAACTAAAAACATGTAATTACATTTTTAACATGAATAATGTCTGGGATAGAAAACATGATTCCATATGGAGAAAACGTTATATTGTCTCAGATAGCCTAAACTATTGTGTGCCCAATCTTAGACCTATTTATATTTTCCATAATCCTAAATTCACTCATTTCCATCTAAATATAATGATGATGATGATGATGATGATGATGTTAAGCTATAGACAACTTTAACATAGTCACAAATTGTTATATTTCACTGGTAGTTTATGATTGAGATTATTGTTCCTTTCATGAGAATGATAAATAAATTGTTATTTGATTATTTTGATCTTGAGGATAACAGAAATCCCAATACTCAGACGTTATTATATTATAATGCTTATTTGTTTTGTACGATCATTCAAAGTTGACCTATATTACATGTGAAAAACGACTTTATAAAAGTTATCATCACAACTTACCACTGACAACTCTTGCGCCATTGCCGCTCGAGGCCATGACCATCACTCCCCATAGAACTCTCAGGATATTCTGCTCCGCGCGCGTCTTCAAGGATTCCATACTTGACAGAGGGCTTTGAAATAAAACTGTTCTTGTAAAACAAAAAGCTTCTTCCTTCACATCAGAGTTCCCCGTTCTACCAGCAGTTTGTTGACTGCGACTTCGCTCTCAATCTCCGGTTTCTGCTGTTGTCATGGTTTCCCCCGATATTTCGGGTTTTCAGTGAGCAAGATGCTCTAATCAGGATTTGCACCGGCTTCCTCGCGCGCTCGACCACCGAAAAGTGTTCGAAGAATGGGGGCTCGCGCAATTATCCCACCAGAGAGATTGAAAGAGTGAAAGTGGCTCCCACACCAGTGCTCATTGATCCACTCCCTTTCCTTCCCCTCTCTGGACTGGTGGGGTCCCAATGCAGCTGATCGACCAGGCGGGGGCACAGCTGTCACCTCGCGCCCCCACCGGTTATTTCGCCTCGAGACACGTGCTCCCCAAGATATATAATGCATGAAGACAATTTATGGCATGTTTGGATCATATAATAGCACGAATGCTTCAAGCAAATGCATCATAGGATAAACTAATATTAGACTACAATTTGTCACCAAAATATAGGCAACATTTGAGAGAGAGAGATGCCTTTGAGAGAGAGAGAGAGAGAGAGAGAGAGAGAGAGAGAGAGAGAGAGAGAGAGAGAGAGAGAGAGAGAGAGAGAGAGAGAGAGAGAGAGAGAGAGAGAAAGAGAGAGAGAGAGTGCTTCCTCCTGTCCTCAGGCCTTAGTAGGCCTACACTTACACAGAGGGAGGCTGCATTATTTGTGTGTATATTATCTGTCCTGGCCTGGGGTCACCACAGCAGTATCCACCTGGGACTTAAACCCACCAGACAATTAACCTGTCAGATGAACTGTCAAAGCCCATCAATATTGATGGAAACTATCAACACTATCTCTCACCAGACCCTTGAGGGATAGGCATTTTACTATTATTTGTACCTTAGTGGAGGTTTCAAAAACATGGAACATTTTTATCTCTGGGTGGACAATAACATAATTTTTTATTTATTTCAGGTATAGGTAAAACGACATACACCTATTCACACACTCCCTTGAGCCCAGGCCTGAGACCAGAGGTAAATATCTCTAGATGCTTTTCATATTGTTCTCCCACATTTTCACACAGCTATGATAGCCAATTACATTTTCTGACAGACAGGTTCTCTCTTTCTGTGTTGTATTGATCTGGTCGCTATAACGATGTGGAGCCAGGATGTTCTGGCTCACTGCTGTTAAACACGCTGTAATATGTATTGACACAAAATATGGTATTACTTAATTCACTATTAGCTATTGATCAGCTATAGCCCTCCCTCCTCTCCTCCCTACATTCATCCCTCCTTCCTCTCTTCCTTCCCTCCCTCCCTCCATCCCCCTCTTCGGTAAATGGATAAATGCAATTGAGGTTTACTGGGCAGTTGGGAGGTGTTCGATAACAACACTAAGATATTCTCTGACACATTATCGATGAAGAGGCCTGAGCATTATTACTGCTGCTGCTGCCATCATCATGTTCATCATCATCATCATCACCAAGATTAAACAAGACCTGGCAGGAAACTCCAACAGAGGAGTAAAAGAGAATAGACAAGAAAGAAAGAAAGAAAGAGAGAGAGAGAGAGAGACACACAGAGAGAGAGATGATTTGTATGAGAGAGAGAGACAGAGAGAGAGAGAGAGAGAGAGAGAGGATTTGTATGAAGAGAGAGAGAGAGAGAGAGAGAGAGAGAGAGAGAGAGAGAGAGAGAGCGGGACAGAGAGAGGGAGTGGGGGAGACAAAAGAAAGGAAATATGTGGTAATCATAAAAGAGACAGAGGATGGAGCTGGGTTTGAGTGCCATCGGGCAGAGGAAAAGGCCAGCTTGCAGAAAAGGGAGCGGGCTGGCAGTAACTAGGGCAGCTGAATCAGGTCCTGCTGAGGCGGCAGTCTGAATGGACCTGGCCTGCGGGCAGGGGACAAACCCAGAACATCATCCTCATTAATATCATCACTCTCCTCCCACTCTTCATCATCGTCCTCTTCCTCATAGTTGACATTCTGTATAGTAGACATACACAGGTCAGAAATGGCTTTTGTCTTGGTTGCTTTCTCTCTCCTTTTCTCTATTTTCACCATCTCTCTCTCTCTCTCTCTCTCTCTCTCTCTCTCTCTCTCTCTCTCTCTCTCTCTCTCTCTCTCTCTCTCTCTCTCTCTCTCTCTCTCTCTCGCTCTCTCTCGCACACACAGAGCCTTAAACAAATTGTATTTTAAACCCCCCTTATCATTGTGATTTCCATGGCTGTCATTGTGATTTCCATGGCTGTCATTGTGATTTCCATGGCTGTCATTGTGATTTCCATGGCTGTCATTGTGATTTCCATGTCTGTCATTGTAATTTCCATGGCTGTCATTGTGACGATCATCCAGAAAAATCTGTTCTGCATTGTTGCCTCCTCCCTTTAAAATCCTACCATTGGGTCAACCTCACAGTCATGTTGAGGGTAGAAAATCCTACATTTCCTCACTCCCTCCATCCCCCATCCTCTATTTCCCCACTCCCTCCATCCCCCATCCTCTATTTCCCCACTCCCTCCATCCCCCATCCTCTATTTCCCCACTCCCTCCATCCCCCATCCTCTATTTCCCCACTCCCTCCATCCTCTATTTCCCCACTCCCTCCATCCTCTATTTCCCCACTCCCTCCATCCCCATCCTCTATTTCCCCACTCCCTCCATCCCCCATCCTCTATTTCCCCACTCCCTCCATCCTCTATTTCCCCACTCCCTCCATCCTCTATTTCCCCACTCCCTCCATCCCCCATCCTCTATTTCCCCACTCCCTCCATTCCCCATCCTCTATTTCCCCACTCCCTCCATCCCCATCCTCTATTTCCCCACTCCCCTCCATTCCCCATCCTCTATTTCCCCACCTCCCTCCATCCTCTATTTCCCCACTCCCCTCCTCCCCCATCCTCTATTTCCTCCCCACTCCCTCCATCCCCATCCCCTATTTCCCCACTCCCCCCCAATCCTCCATCCTCCATCCCCTATTTCCCCACTCCCTCCATCCCCATCCTATCTTATCCCACTCCCTCCATCCCCCATCCTCTATTTTCCCACTCCCTCCATCCTCTATTTCCCCCACTCCCCTCCATCCCCCATCCCCTATTTCCCCACTCCCTCCATCCTCTATTTTCCCCACTCCCTCCATCCCCCATCCCCTATTTCCCCACTCCCTCAAATCCCCCATCCTCTATTTCCCCACTCCCTCCATCCCCTCCTCTATTTCCCCCACTCCCTCCATCCCCCCATCTCCTATTTCCCCCATCCCTCCATCCCCATCCTCTATTTCCCAGCTCCCTCCATCCCCCCATCCTCTATTTCCCCCACTCCTCCATCCCCCACCCCCTATTCCCCACTCCTCATCCCCATCCTCATTCCTCATCCCCATTTCCCTATTTACCCCACTCCCTCCATCCCCATCCTCTATTTCCCCCTCCCCCCATCCCCATCCTCTTTTCCTCACTTCCCCATTCCCTATTTCCCCACTCCCTCCATCCCCCATCCTCTATTTCCCCTTCCCCACCCCTCCTTCCCCATCCTCTATTTCCCCCACTCCCCTCCCATCCTCTATTTACCCCACTCCCTCCATCCCCCATCCCCTCTATTTCCCCACCTCCCCCATCCTCTATTTCCCCACTCCCCCATCCCCATCCTCTATTTCCCCACTCCCCTCCATCCTCCCTCCTTACCCCACTCCCCCCATCCCCATCCTCTATTTCCTCACTCCTCCTCCCTATTTTCCCCTTCCCCACTCCCTCCATCCCCCATCCTCTATTTCCCCACTCCCTCCATCCCCCATCCTCTATTTCCCCACTCCCCCCCTCCCCTATTTCCCCTCCCTCCCTCCCCATCCCCTATTTCCCCACTCCCTCCATCCCCCATCCTCATTTCCCCACTCCCTCCATCCCCCATCCTCTTTTTCCTCACTCCCCCATCCCCTCATTTCCCCACTCCCCTCCCATCCCCCCATCCTCTATTTCCCCACTCCCCCTCCATCCTCTATTACCCCACTCCCCCCATCCTCATCCTCTATTTCCTCACTCCCTCCATCCCCTATTTCCCCACTCCCTCCATCCCCCATCCTCTATTTCCCCACTCCCTCCATCCTCTATTACCCCCACTCCCCCCCATCCCCATCCTCTATTTCCTCACTCCCCCCATCCCCATTTCCCCACTCCCTCCATCCCCCATCCTCTATTTCCCCACTCCCCTCCATCCTCTATTTCCCCACTTCCCTCAATCACCCATCCTCTATTTCCTCACTCCCTCCATCCTCTATTTCCCCACTCCCTCCATCCCCCATCCTCTATTTCCCCACTCCCTCCACCCCCATCCTCTATTTCCCCACTCCCTCCATCCCCCATCCTCTATTTCCCCACTCCCTCCATCCCCCATCCCCTATTTCCCCACTCCCTCCATCCCCCCATCCTCTATTTCCCCACTCCCTCCATCCTCTATTTCCCCACTCCCTCCATCCCCTCCTCTATTTCCCCACCCCTCCATCCTCTATTTCCCCCACTCCCTCCATCCCCCATCCTCTTTTCCCCCTCCCTCCATCCCCCATCCCCTATTTCCCCCTCCCTCCATCCCCATCCTCTATTTCCCCCTCCCTCCACCCCCATCCCTATTTCCCCACTCCCCCCCAATCCCCTCCCTTTTCCCCCTGCCCTCAACTCTTCTACCCCCCTCTCCCTCCACCCCCATCCCCTATTTCCCCACTCTCCATCTCTCCTCCTTCTTCTCCCCCCTCCTCCTCAACTAACCCTCCCCTTCCCCTTTCCCTCCCCCTTCTCCCCCTTCTCTCCTCCCCCCACCCCCTTTCCCCCTCCCAAATAAATGCTCTTCCCTCTACCTGGGGTGGTTTGAGTGCTGCCTCTCTGCTGATTGGATTAGAGGCTGGTCATTGTGGCGATAGGAGATGGGAGGAAGTAACAGGCATCCATTAGACAGACATCAGACTACAGA